TAAACCCTTTTTAGTTGGGTTTCAGCCCCCCTATCTGTCACCTTAGCCCCCAAAACTATCTTAACGATCAGGCCAGTGCTGCTTCCTCCAAAGTTTTTCATTCTCACGTGTTTTAAGTCTTGTCAGTTTAAACAGTAAAGTAACTTTAAGCCACTTAAGCCCAAGACATCTCAGTGCGGTACGCACGCGCTGTGATAGAGCGTTTCTATGCGCACCGCTCACACATCTGAAGTGCACAAACAGATAGCCTTCTTGGGGGGGGTGAGAAGTGGGGGGGGCCGAGTGAAATTAGACAAACTTGGGGGGGTGCATGTCCTAAAAGGTTGAAAACCCCTGATTTATGCGACATGGAGAGCCAGTTCATTTGATTCCTGCACTGGATTTTGTGTAGCAGCTGGTGAGCACTAGCCAATGAGATTGCTGTTTGCGCATTATTCCTACACTGCACATCCATTGATATCAATAGGAATAGTGTGCTTACTGCACTGCAAATACATGGAGATACGACTGGCAGCTGATTTCTTTCGATCTTTTCTTTTGTGTCCATATCGGATTAACTCCTCAAAATCAGTGAATCCCTCCACTCTGATGTTTTACTCTGTGGTGTTTGGGACACACAACACCTCTTAAAAAATAAATAAATAAAAAATGCAGGAGCTCAGATGGCAAAATCGTCTCAGGTTACTTATGTAACCATGGTTTGGAATCAGGAATAGATTCCTTTAAGGGGATACGACCAAGAGCCTAACATCATACTAAGTCTTGGTCTGCCACACAGGGGCTACCGCTTGGTCTGCACAAGCTTGCTGGAGGAACTGTCTCAACAGACCCCTAGTAGCAACACCCTGTTAAAAGTAGGTATCCGGAGGGTACATATATAATGCTGGAGTGGCTAGCAGTAAATCTCTAGCTGAGGGAGCAAACACCCAGCTCTCAATCGAGAGGGGGCTCGACCTACAGCATGTTCCAATGCTGGAACAGCTAGCAGTAATTTACTTAGCTGAGGGAGCAACACACCCAGTTCTCAAACGACAGGGGGGATCAACCTACAGCATGTTCCAATGCTGGAACGGCTAGCACTGTTACCTAGCTGAGGGAGCACAACACCCAGCTCTCAATGAGAGGGGGCTCGACCTACAGCATGATCGTTAGAAATCAGAAGGGTAAGCGTACTGCAAGCTAGTCAAAAAACTCAGCGCATCAGAGAGGCGGAGGAAGGCCCTAGTTCGCCTGATGCTGCTGGCTCCAGGTGCTCTGGGAAAACAGAGAACTCAACTCTCACGTGAGAAGAGAACTCCGAATTCAGAAAAAGGAGTAGCGCTTATAGGCAACCCTTTGATAAAGGGGAGCACTGCTAAACACTACCACGAGAACAGCCCACGGAGCGAGGAATCCAACTCCTCAGAAGGGGAGAGAACTCGAGCGCTCGAAAGGAAGCACCATGCTCACAATAACCCTCAATGGTGAGGGGAGTGAAGCTTCAAAGTGTGTCAACAGAGACACACTGGTTGAGTGGAACCCAAGGTACCGGGGTCTAAACCAACTCAGAGAAAGGGAACGAGGCTAATAACGCGTAACCCTTAGCATACAGGATTTCAGAAAGTGCGCAGAGTCTAGTGTGCACACTTACCACTATGTGGATTTTAGAAAGTGCGCAAAGTGTTCAGCGTGCACTTACCACTTATGTGGATTT